TATGTGAATGACTTCATACCTGGATCTAGCCTTCCCCTTGACAGGTGAGAAGATGGAGGTTCAGAGAGAGTAAGCAGGTCCCATAGGGTTAGAGTAATGGCCAGAGACCAGGTCAGTCCCCAGCTCTGCCTGACTCCGAGCACACGCCCTCGCCCTGCAAGCTCCTTGTCACTGAGCCCTGACACCGAATCAGCCGTGACCGTGGATCCTGGCCCACGAGGGCCTTTCCGCGGAACAAGGATTTCAACAATATGAATTCACGTGAATGTTGAGCGTCTCCGCAACTCGCCTACCAGACAGGAGTTTTAGTGAGTTGGAGGGAAGGGCATATCTGTCCAGAATTGTAGGTAGTGAGAACATACGGGGTCAGATTAGAGAATTATGATGTTAAAGGAGATGATGAAAGGATTGGTCAGTTAAGGAGCTGGGGCGGGAGAGGAGGAGGCCACACATCTCCCTGTGGGGTATCTTTGTACAGGAATCACCCCAATGCTACAGTTGATCCGGGCCATCCTGAAAGACCCTGAGGACCCCACCCAGTGCTTTCTGCTTTTTGCCAACCAGGTTGGTGGTGTGTTTTCCTCTGTCATGGCACTTCAGAGTGGCTGTGTAGGTAGGGCAGATGCGTGGCACCGTTGGGCAGAACTGACCCAGGGCTTGTTCTGGCCTCTGTCCAAGAGCCCCTGTGCAAAGGACCTTCCCGCTGCCAAAATGCAGAGGAAGGACAGTGCAGATATCTCCGTTTCTTCCCTGGCCCCAAGGAAAGAACAGAAAACATTTAAGGAGGAAAGTCTTGAGTGTAGAAATTTGACTGTCTTTAGTTAAATATTCTGCCTTCATTCCTTCATACCTTTCCCTCATCCTAACACTCTGAAAGTCGTGCTTACTCCCTAGAGCTTCACCATTCTTGTTCTCTCCTGTTGGACAGTTGTTAGAACAGAGAAATTATTTTTAGTGGCGCCCCAAAACACTCCTAAAGACTTTGCTGCCCCTTTTCATTTTCATTTCAGACTGAAAATGACATCATTTTACGGGACGATCTGGAGGAACTACAGGCCCAGTATCCCAATCGTATGAAGCTCTGGTTTACTCTGGATCAGCCACCAAAAGGTACCCTCTCCATTTCCAGGCGTCCCTAAACCAGGGCCTTCCCCCTCTATTAGTTCTGGCTGCAGTTTTGGCACTGCCAAACTCCCAAGTGAGTAAACAAGGGGGTCCCCTGGGCTGGTGCCAATTTTTCGGGTGGGGGGCAGGGATGGCTGTGCTACTGGGGAAGACTGAGTATCCAGCTGTTGCTACAGCAGCATGACATCTGAGGTGCCTTGGGGTCCTCCCTCCACCCCCATAAGGGCTCTACAACTCCCATCAGCTTGGGTCTTGGCGTCAGTTCTCTCCTTTCTACTTCAGACTGGACCTACAGCAAGGGCTTTGTGACCGCCGACATGATTCGAGAGCATCTGCCCGCCCCAGGGGATGACGTGCTGCTGCTGCTCTGTGGGCCGCCCCCCATGGTGCAGCTGGCCTGCCACCCCAACTTGGACAAACTGGGCTACTCGCAGAAGATGCGATTCACCTACTGAGCGTCCCCTCTTCCTGGTCCCGTTTCCCGCAGTGGTCCCCAGCCAGTACTCAAATGCTATGAGCCTTTCCTGGGAATACCAGCCTTTGTGTGTTACTCTGAAGCTGAAATCTGGATGGCACTTGCAGGGACAACAACCTTTGGCCATGGCAAAGGGCCGAGTCTGAGTCATTCTCTAGAAGGGTCCCTTTGATAAAAGTCCTGGTCAGGCCTATGGAATAATCTCTTCCATGAGTCAGAAAGAAGGAAGCATGGGAAGGAAAAGGAAAGGGAAAGAGAAAGGAAAGAAACCTTCATTCCAAGACCACTAGCCCCTCGAGAGTATCACGCTGTTTGTGTCTGTGATGCAGGGAAAAATCTGTGTGATGGGTTCTACTGAATAGTCATGCTTAACACACAGCCGATTTTGAATGCTTGAGTACAAGTTGAGCAGAAAGAGGTAGTCTTATGGAGATTGCAGCAAAAGAAGAAATGGTTTCTTCAGACCTCCAACCCCCAGAGAAAGGAATCTGAAATATGTGTCTGTGTGTCTGTCTCTCCGCCCCTACCCAGGCTGGAGGCCAGTGCCTACCCACAGTCTAAGAAGGCTGCTGTGGCAGGAACCTCTGTTTACACAAATAAACAGGGCTGAGGCCCCCGTGTCGTGTCGTACCTCGGGTTGTTGTGTCTGGGGTCCTTGTTTCCAAGATTTCTCATGCCCAGCTATCCTGGGAGGGAGGGTTTCCCAGTGCAAAATTTCACCCAGGTCTTCCAAAGAGCTTTTCAGCCATCATTTACGGTGTGCTGAAATGTGATCTGCCCAACTCAGCGATCATCTTAGCAGCTGTCTCAGCAGAGACAGAAGCTCAGCTTCTCCCTAGAAGCTCTTGGGGTGGGGTAAGAAGAACACATTAGAGGGGTGCTTTTGAGTCCAGGTACCTCTCCCAGTGTTCCCTGGTCTCAGCCATTCTTGTGTCTCTTGTCCTTTCACCATATTTATCCATCAGGGTACCTTGCCAACAAAGCAAAGTTTTATCTGCTTGGAAGAGAAGCCTTCTCCTTTAAAAAGTAACCTGACATCAGCAGCCCCAGCCAGACGTGCTGGTGCCTGAACAGAGCTACCCCCACCCCCACCCCCAGCTCATCTGTCCTGACTGTCCTTCTCCTCTCTGTGCACACATCACCCAGTCCACTTCCATTTCCCAGGCTAGGGCTAAGGAAGCTTCTCCAGATCTTCTTGTTAGTCTCATTGGGTCAGGACAATGCAACAGCCTCAGGAGGGAAGCTGACATTTTTCCTGCATGGGATTATGTATTGTTTTCCAAGGTGCTCCTCAAAGTTCTCCAACTCAGAATTCACCTCTCCACTGGGCTGTCTTCCACCAAACATTACTTAGTTATCAAGTATGCCTACAGGACTGTGCTCTATGAGGCACAGTCTGGGACACTTCACCTCCAGAAAGAAAGACCATCCTTGTTTGGGTTTGTCAGATTCCAATAGTGGAGCATCCCAGCAAAGAGAATTTCCCACATGGAAGATATGTCCCTTGCATAGGTTTCTGCCCTGTCCAGGCAACATGTGAACACTCCGTAATACCAGTCATGTGCGCTGCACTAGACCCTGAGGATAAAAGCATGACTTAACACCTCTTTTAGAGCCCCAAAAACTCATCATCTAGAGTTAGATTAGACATGTGACAAATCATTATAACACCGTGTAATTTAACCTATAATAGTAAATAAGGTTCAGATGGGAAGCTGAGAAATACTCAGAGGAAGACAAGCAGAAAGAGAATTTGTATTTTTAAGTTAACAGTCACGTACCAGGTTCTGGTACTCAATCCTTAGGACAAATGAAGATTTGCCAGAGATCATACACGTTGGCAGACCCTGGATGAACTTAGGGTTATCTTAGTTCAAAGCCAAACCTAGAACTAGCTTCTTGGATCTTTCAGCAGAGAATAAGGGAGGGAAATCCAACAGAAGGACCAGCATATGCAAAAACCTGGTGGGACAAGACCTTGTATTTGGAAAACTAGGAGAATTCACTGAGGACCAAGAGACCAGAGGAACATGCAGGAAGATGAAGTCTGAGAATAAGAGCAAGCTGGTGAAAGGCCTTGTAACCCCTTGCTGAAGAAACTAGATAATACTGTGGATGATGGAAATTTCTGATTTTGATAGAGCAGACAACATGACAAGAGCACTCACTCTTTGCTAGGTATCTCACTAGGTGCCTGTTTTATCACTTAATGCTGACACTTAGTTAGCATTACCCCCATTTTTCAGATGCGGTCATTGTTATTTTCAGGTGTTTAGTAATGTGCCATCGGCTTGCCATACATGGAAACCTGGGTTAACATGAGTCTAGACCCCAAGGTTTAAACCAGAACCAAGAGAATTAACCCCATGGCCAGAGGCGGTGGTTATGTCATAATAAATAACCCCTCTGCATCTACAATAGCACTAGGTCTGTGCTGTCCTGGAGAAGACTGAGAAAACTGTCGGTCCCTTGAATACTTGTCTGTGTGCTATGGTTCAGAGAAGGGCCACACCACCCCAAGAGTCGCCTAGTCTCTTAAGTGCCACCACTCTGGCACAATGTGGCATCAAGAGCTGGAACAGGGGCCATCCCTGTTAGCCTAGGAGTTAAGTCTCTGTGTTACCGCCTCTGTGGCCTGAGTTCCATCCTGGCCAGAGAGCTGACCCCCATTTGGGGCAACAATCCTCTCCTGTGTAGCTGCTTCTACCCTCAGCAGTGTATTTCGGTAGATCTGCCTGCACTGCTCGCTCAATGTCTCTGGTGAATCCTTTCACCCCTGGCATCTCTGGCCTACATCCCAGTTCTTCTACACAAAACTAAATTACATTAAAAAAAAAAAAAAAAGCTGGAACAAGGAGTTTTCAAGCAAAACATAATATCTAATTTGGGCAAGAATAACAGGAGTCAAAACAAAATCTAGCTCAGTGTCTGGCACATGATAGGTCCTCAATAATTATCTGTGAATGTGAGGAAAAGGCCAAGCGGTTATAGGTGGGGTAAGTGTTTCTGGGATAAAACGACAGATGTTGGTATCGCTGCGGTATAGATGCCGTCTAGCGGATGAGGTGCGTGGTAGGGAATAGGGCATTTCTCAGCAGGGTACAGCCTAACCCGCAGAAATTCCTTCTCCATCACGCGGCGCCAGTCTGCGATGTAAGGGTGTGGCCCTTCCCAAGATCTCGCCAAGTGGCGTTTACCAGCCGAGCTGAGACGGGAGGCGGGGCCTGCGTGAGGACCTGGGCTCGCGGGTGGCCCCAGCCAGGGGGCGGGGCCAGGCGGAGGGGCGGGCCCGCGAGGGGGGCGTGGCCCAGGAGGGCAGCCGCGATTGGGACGCGGGAGGAATGCCGGGGAGGCGGGGCGAGGAGCTCGGGGAGGAGGTGACGCGGCCGCGGAGGTGACGCCGTGTGGTCGCGCGCCCCTTCCGGCGCGGGGAGGGCGCTGACGATCCCGGGCCGCTCGGCCGCAGGCCGCCTCCAAACGCCGCGGGATGTAGCGCCGGGGACCGCGGCCCCCAGCACAGCCTTCCCGCCCACTGTAAGTTTCCCTGGGCGAACGCCGCGAGCGGGTGGGCGGAGCGCGGCCGGAGCGCCGGGACCCCCGAGGACCTCGGCCCGGGACCAGAGACTGGGCTGCCGGGGGTGAGGGGGGGTAACCTGCCCACAAGTCCCGAGGGCCGGTGACCCCCTGCCTCGGAGACGGCGGGGCTCCCCGGTTTCTCAGTGGTCTGGGTTGTAAACATTTCCGGCCCCTCCTACTGCGCGCCGCCTCCGAGGCGGCCTCAAAAACAGTGAAGTGCGGTGGACTGGGCTGCTTGTCCCCCGCCTTTGCCCCGACTGCCTGCAGCCCTGGTGAGTGCTGTGCGTTCCCAGCCGCGCCGGGGGGTTGAGACGCCTGGATTCGGTCTCTGACTCTGGACGGGACTGGCCAGATCTAAGCCTGGTCCGGAGGCCGCCGCGCGAGCCTAGAGAGGAGAGGGGGATGCGGGCCTAGGTCAAAGAACTGCCTCTCAGCAGGGACCCCACGCCTTGGGCGGCCTGGGAAGCCCTAAGGTTCCTCGACCAGCAGCTGGTCAACCCGTGACGGGGCCCCTCCTGCTTGACGGGTGAGGAGGGGAGGTTCCTGGACTATTGACTGGGTAAAGGTAGTTCAGAAGCTGAAACGTGAACAAAATCTGAACTACTTCAGAGGGGAAACGAAATTTTCTTTCACTTAGAAGTCGCACATTGACGTTTGCTAGTTTATGCTTGCAAGTTGGCGTCTTCAAGCCTTCAGTTTTTCAGGAAAAAAATAGAAGTTTCATCACAGTACCTGGTGCTTCAGGGGTGAATGGGAAACTGACCAGGCTGATTTCCGTTTACACAGTTGCTAGTGTCAGAGGAGCAATAGTATTTTACTTATCCATAGTATTACCTCCAAGTATTTAGAAGACAGGTTAGAAAACGCAGCAGGCGATTGACAGGCTACTACGTCTGCAATCAACAAATCAAGCGCAGAGCCAATCATGACTGGTTCTTTTCTGAAATGAAAGAGTGCAATCTGTTTACTGCTTTTCTCTCTTGATAAGACTTGGGTCACCTCTGATGGTGGAACTGCTGTTGCTGAGGTTTTTATAGTATCTATGCAGCACTAGGAATTTAGACTGGGCGGTGCTAAACAGATTGCAATGTCAGGATAGCAGTTCCCAGCTTGCAACCACTTCGCTCAGTTTCTTTATTCCAGAAATAACGTATGTGTTCCCATAGAGTGGTTGGCACTTGGGGAATCAATCTTAAAACCTGGTGTGTTTCTGAAAGTTCATCTTAGGGTAGGCTGCCACAAAATTGACCCTTATTGCAAAGCAAAATCTGAAAGCATCCTGTCCACCGTGGCCAAGAAATCATATGATTCCCACTTGATTTAAAAGAAAATTAATCGACCCCTTTGCCTGCAAGTAGGAAGTAATCGCAGATGAGTATCAGGAAACATTAATATACTAGGCTCCCCGTTGCTAATGCATAAAGTACACCATGTTAGGTAGGCTTTTAGGCCATCTTCATTTTCTGCAATCTGGCCTCATTTTACCTTTCCAAGACTCCCTTATGAAAAAGTGCCCTGGGATCTTTTTCTTTCATGTCTGCTTTGGTTCACACGTGGTAGCCTCCCCTGCTCCCGTCTCTACCTATCCAGAGCTTTTTAAAAAATATTCTACAAACATTTCCTCATCATTCCAACTAAAACCGAGGTTTTCTGCTTACTTTCAGCATCACTTACTGGTATTTAGTCTTGAGATGTTAATAGAAAATAAAAATGATTTCCCTCTTAAACTAGGCCAGCAACCATGTCTAACTTCTCTTTGTCTCATCTCTAGCTACAATGTCACACGTTATCTATTGTGAATCACAATAGGTATTTTCCTCCGGATAAAGGATAGAGTTTGTACTTCTTTATAGGTCAGTAAATTTGTTCTCTATTTCCCTAGGAAATTTTGTTAACTCCTGTAATATAAAGCTAACAAACTATTAACACTCTTGCTGCATTATCCTGACCATGCATTGATGATCACACTGGTGAACTAAACAGTCATCTTGAAGTCTAGAGCTTTATTAATTATGGTGGGCTTTTTTTCCTAATTCTGGTATTATTGAAGTCATTACATTTTGTCCTTAGTGTCCATTTGTTCCTAATATTGCCCAAGGGATTTTGTACCTCTCACTATGCTCAAAGTTAATTCCCTTTTCTGCTCAGAAATGTTGGGAGTGTGATTAATGTTTACAAAGTATGTAGCTATCTTGAATTGCTGAAATCCTTGAACGGCCCCTCCAGCCAAACCAGTTCCAAGTGATTGGCTTTTAGACATGTACCTAGTTTGCTTTTGTTTTATTGGGCTTTCTGGGATATACAAAGATCATTAAAACGTGCAACTATACTCACCATATATCTGTAATATATGTGAAAGCCGGGTATTAAAAAGCAGTAAGTCTATTGTATGCCTGCTTACTATTTACTGGGTGTGTGCTTGGTCGTGGCATTTGAAAAGCATATGTCTTTTGTTGGAGGTTAAAAAGATCTCTTCTGTTGGGATAGCTTTTACTGGAAAAGAGTTACAAAAGAAGTTATATTGTGATTTTCCCTTCACAGTCAGACTTGGCATCAGAGAGGAAAGCTGAGGCCTCATTAGAGCACTTTGGTTATTTTCACACATAGCCTTTGCCTTGCCTCATTCTCCCCCAGCAGTACTATGAAACCACCTCTCCTAGCAAAGGGAGTATGAACCTAGAGAAGATGTAACTGTGTGGTCTTTGCTGCTAGGCAGGCCTTGCTTTAGAACATGGGTGTTGAAGTAGACACAGACCCTACTCGTGGAATAGAGTGGATCTCAGAAGTAGAAGATGGAGACTCAGTCGTGAAAATAAGGTAGTATATACAGGTTTGTAATGTTTCCTCTACAGTGAAACCTACACGATGTTATAAACTTCAATTAAAAGCAAAAAATATCTTCAAAAAGCTTTGTGCTTAGATTCCAGAGAAGGCATGTGAAATAACCTAGAAAACTTGGTAACTGGTTCACAGAATAAATGTCTTAACCACATTTGGGGGGGACTCTCCAGCTAACTGGTTGGTGACTAAGAATCAGTCCTTCCCCAAGTCTGGCACAGGATTACCTTATTTACAGGAGCACAAACACCTCCCGGCTTCCACAGCTTTATTCTCTGATATTCCAGATTTACCAAGTTGGGAAGCTTAATGGAAAAGATTTATTAGCTTGAATTGAAGAAATCCCATTAAAAATGCACTCAGTAGAGTGCATTTGGCTCAGTTATAAATTGCTATATTGGGTGTGGTGAGTTTGAGGGGAAATGTGTTTCCTCTAGAACACGTATGTTGGTAGAAAAGCTGGTAAGAAGCTGAAGTAGATTTGGCTTTCCTGAGTGTTCCCAAACAGTCTAGTACCTTAGGGGCTTGAACAGATTTTACATAATAGAGGAAAAGAAAAACACTTGTAATAATTCCTAGTTGTTTGTGAGTGACCCACCCTATCCAAAGTTATATTTTCAGGTCCCAGAATTAGTCATTCTTCTTTCTTGCCAGACTTCTGATCCCTATCCCATTTTTGTCTTCATGTTGCTGTTGTAGTTTAGAAAACCAAACCGGGCAATTGACTTGGCTCACTATGAAGGCACTGACTACCACTGCTTCCTCTGTATATATTTTAATGGCTGTTGACCTATCTGGTATCATGAGTTGTAGCTGACGGCTGATTAATTGTAGGGGTCTACTAGGTTTGGTGATTCATCCAGAAGACAATGTTGAAGGGAAGTGTAAGGAGCTACTGAGAGAGGAGACAGAGGAAATTAGAAGAATTCATAGACAGTGATGTGGACAAAAGGAAAAGATGTTGATGATAACCAAGGTCATCCAAGGTGAAAACTACACTTGAGGACATAGAAACTTTTCAGATCAAATAAAATTAATAAGAATGAGAATACCAACATGGAGTCTGTATCTGGTCTCAGAGTCTGTTGCCCAAGTTCATTTTTTTGTATCACTACTTTGACCACAGCAAATGGTCTGATGGCACTGCCTTCTGCCTTCTGATCATAGACTCTCTGAAGACAGTGGCTTAACTTGTTCAGCTTTGTATCTCACATAGTTCCTTGGAATGCCGAGGGGTGCTAGTACTAGCTACATGGTTAACTGCTTGGTGAAGGTGTTGGCTTGCTCTGGACAAAGGGATCGGAGAAAGCCCACAGATGAGGAAAAGCGCATGAATCCTTAGCTTCATGAGGCTGCGGAGGCTAAATGCCTGTTAGTTGTATGCTTGCTGGCTGGGATGCTACTGTGGTCACTCACTCATTTTGAAATCCAAGTTCTGACCAAAATCAGGATACGTACCAATTTATGTTCCATGTATCCCAGAAACGGCACTTTTTTTTTGCCCCAGTGGCCTGCTTCTAGAGCACCGGCATCAGTAGCCTAAGCTAAGTGTGTTCCCCTCAGCAGACTTAACCAAGATGCCCAAAGCTGTTTATAGCTTTTGCTCCAGTATAAATTATTTCTTAAGCTGTTTATTAGGTAGTACTTCACTTAGAGGAAATATATGTGTGGTCAGCTTATTGAAAAAGATTTCCCAATGTTTCTCTCCTTTGGGCCTCCTATCTCCTGAGGTTTCCTGTTCTCCTTTGTTGGCAGTGACTGTGAGCTGGCATCTGGCTTGTCAGAGTCTCTCACAGTTAAAGGAAGAGGAACTGTCTATGTGTTGACACCACATAAAGAGCTGCTGCACAGTGAGTTACTGTTTTGTCTCTGGACTAGGTTTGCTTGCTGCTTTGAGCTGTGCTTGTGAGTTGAGCACAGCAACACTGGTCCGAAACTTGAGGCTTGCCCACTCCTGCATGCCTGTGTCCAGTTATAATCCCTGACAAGCAATTGTGATTACTCTTGGATTAAAAAAAAAAAAGACGTCAAAGATGTTTTTATAGTGAGCCATGGAAAATACAGACAGTGTCTTCCTCGGGGGCAGAGTCATGCTTACCACACATTATAAAGATTAAGGCTCTCTGGGCTTCAGCTTCCCCTCCTGGAATGCCACCCGCTCCCCGTGCGGGAGTTACCTGCCCATCTCAGTGTTGCCCCCTGGGTATCAGGGGCCAGGTAAGCAATGCAAGAAAATGCTAGTATTCTGGCTGCTGTTTCAGCTATGAGTAATAAAGTCCTTTTTCCAAGGCAGGAGATGAGGGAGACTGGTAACTTACAAAACAGGGAAACTCTTTTTGGGCACTTTCTCCCTCTTTTCAATTTTATGTTCAGCTCCCTATGGCCTGATTTAAAGATTGCTGCCTAAATCCAATCAGGAAAACCTGTAGTGTTTTGAGATTTTTTTCCCTAGAAAACTGAGTTCTGGATTTCGCTGATTTTTCTGAAGGATTCGTGTGCCTATCTCCAGTTTCTGAGAAGCTAATATGAGTGGGGCTTAGGTTATGAGCTGTGGTGGCCTGGACAAGCTCTTGCTGAGCCGGTTGTTTAGTATGTGTGTGGTAAAGGGCAAGGTGGGGGCTGCCTCCTGGGGTTCAGCTTCCTGTTTCCAGGTAAGTTATCTCTTGCTTGAAGGAGGAATTGTGAAAGTTTGATATCCAAGTGTTGAAACCAGGCCCTAATCAATCCTAAAATAATAGACTCAGCCCTTCAGAGGAACTAACCCCTGGGTATCTCACCTATGTCCAAGTTCCTTGTGCATGCCAGACACACCTGTCTGATCATTTGTAGATGAAGCCCTGCCGAGTTCAGCTGGCATCTAATTCATTTCTAAGTGTGGATAGTCTTGTCATAATTAAAGTTAGGTGTTGGCTTCATATTTTTGCTCCTTAGGCTCAGAATCAGGTCTTTCTTGGGTAGAACAGCTTTGGAAAAGGTAAGCTAAACTCTCCTCTCTAGAGAGAGACGCCATATCAGTAGGTGGGAATTGAAGTTCGGCACAATAACCACAGATCCCTTGAAGGTAAAAGACTGGGTTTATATTTTCAGCCTTCTTCATAAGGTTGATGAGGTTCTCAGTAAAGAGTAACATTAAAGAGGGAGAACAATGAAAAGATTTCATTCTAGCAATTAATTGGCCATTAGACGTGGAGACGGTCTGGGTTGATGAGCTACATCTTATTTTCGGTACTGACTTGTAGAAATAGAGGAATTAATTGTCAATACTCTTTTGTTTGGATTTTCTTTCAAGGTTTACCATTACAGGGAGCTCTCTGCCCCCTGGGCTGAGAGACCCCACCTTCTCCCCAAGCTGAAACTCTGGTGTACTGAGTACCAGCCAGATGTCTTCTCACAAAGGATCCGTGGTGGCACAGAGCAATGGGGCTCCTGCCAATAACAGAGAAAATGACACGGTGGAACTGGCTGAACTGGGACCCCTGCTGGAAGAGAAGGGCAAGCGAGTAATCGCCAACCCCACCAAAGTAAGTCGGCTCCCAGTCCCTTTCCTGGACAGCATCTCTCCTTAGGCCTCTGTCAGTCTCCATTTTTTAAGATCTCAACTTCCTCCCAAAAGGGGAAAGCACTGCACCCTGGTTAAGTCTCTGTCCCAGTCCTTAGCAGCCTGCTAGTATCTTTTTGTTTTTCCCATTGTAAGCTAGTGTGTGTTCACTCTCACAAGACCTGAACTCCAATAAGTAATAAGCAAATCCCTTGAGTTGAATAAGGAAGCAGTCAGGTAAGATTAGGTTTGGCTTCATATAACAAAACAAAAATCCGGGCCTCCCTGGTGGCACAAGTGGTTAAGTCTTAATGCTGCCAAGCTGTCCACAGCCACTGCAGCACCAGTTTGATCCCGGCCAGGGAGCTGACCCACATGGCGCAGCAGCAGACCTCTCCTGTCCTGTCTCACCCGCTGCTCCCCTCAGCAGTGTATTTCAGTAGATCTGCCTATTCTGTTCCCCACTCTGTCTGGTGAATCCTCTCACACACTACACACCCCACTCTGGGGTACACCTCTGGCCTACACCTCAGTTCTTGTATGCATAAATAAAGTAAAGTATACCTTTTTTTAAAAAAATAGGCAAAAATTCTTTACAGCTGTTAGTCTCACATAAAAAGATTCTTGAAAGTAAGCAGTCCAACGCTGATGTGGAGGCTTCACTCCTCTTAGGCACCTGTCTAGCTCCTCCGTCATTTTTTATGTGTTACTCGTCACACCCACATTCTAGCCACTGAAAGCGGGGAGGGGTTGGAGAAGGGGCCACCCTTGCTGAAGGTATCCTGCGGCAATTCACTTTTGTCTCGGCCAGAACTAAGTTACATGACGACATTCAGCTGCACCAAGGTGAAGCATTATATCCCTCTCATTGGGGCGTAAAGTTACGTTAATGCCTCCCTGAATAAAACCAAGGGCTTGGCTACTGAGGAAGAGAGAGAATGGATATTGGATATTGGAGTAGGTAAGCAAGAATCTGTATTATAAAATCTAAGATGGACCATTTGTTTACCTGGGACCATCGACAGGAGAAAGACTAGCCCAGGGAGGAGCTGAAGTGCCAGGTTCTCCATCTCCATGGAGTGGAGCCTCGGGACGGGGCCAGTCTCTGCCTGATGGCAAGCCTGCTCCCCTGTGATGCTGTGGCACTGTGTGAGCTCCTGGGAGCTGCTGTGGGGACAGAGTTTCAGTCATGATCTCATCCCCAGAGTCTGTGCACAGGGAACTAAGAACAGACTTAAATTTGAAGGGAGTCTCTGAGACTTGGTGTCTTCTTCCTTGGTTTGGAATTTTAGTGGGCTAGAAGAGAAAAACTTGTGGGAATCTAGGGAAAACTGACAGCCACTGTCCTGGAGATAAGGACATTCAGACTTACAGAACGTCTGGGACTGTGTGCTCATCTGATCCTGTGTCCGGTGCATTTACAGTATAACATCTTAACTTGCAGGGTTGGAAACTCAGCCACTGCCCTGCTCTTGAAAGGGTCACAGGCCCGAGATGTAGGAGCGAGACTGAGCGGAAAGCTTTGAGTTTGGGTTTCTCTGGACCGGTCTGATCTGGAATTGTCATGTCTCCTAGGATTGGTTTTTTTCCATTTTTCCTCCCGCAGGCAGAAGAGCAAGCATGCCCAGTACCCCAGGAAGAGGAGGAGGAGGTGCGGGTGCTGACGCTCCCCCTGCAAGCCCACCACGCCATGGAGAAGATGGAAGAGTTTGTGTATAAGGTGCAGCCCAAAGCCTCGCGTCCTGGAAGGGGAAGGGCATGGGCCTGCTGGGGTGCCCACTGCAAGCTCGCACTGGGCTGAAGAAGAGCTTTCACTCCAGTGGGTAGATTCGTTTTTACTTAGCTGAAGTAAACAGAGGGGAAGGCAGGCTAAATGTTAGGGCCTGCTGCGTTCAAAATACATCTGGAACAGCAGTTCTTAACTTTTGGGGGCTACTGATCCCTTTTCCAGTTGTCAAAGTGTTTAAATGTAATAATATGGACTCCATTATTAATACATTAAGTAATACAAGCAATAGTATTTCATTAAAATTTAATATACATCTACACAATTTTTATGTGTCTACAAAATTAATGTATTAAATATCTGATTTCTACTGCTGACAGTCACAAGTTTTACTGTTACTGTGGTTTGTTGTCCACTTTTATAATTGAAGGAACTAATAAGCTTAAATGAGAGATATATGGGAAAAAAGATAATTTTTTCCCAAACTCCCATACACTCTTTGGGTTCAGCTCATTGTCCAAGAATTATTTATGTATCCAAGAGGTGTGTGGGGGTGGGGAGGAATGAGAGGACTCACCAGAGACAGAGTGGGGAGCAGAACAGGCGGATTGATTGATGTGGGGTCATACACCCTGAGGGGAGCAGTGGGGGAGACAAGAGAGATCTGCTGCGTCATGTGGGTCAGCTCCCTGGCAGGGGTGAACTCATGCTGTAGTGGCTGTGGAGAGCTCGATAGTGCTGAGACTTAATGCCTTGCACCATCAGGAGGACCAAAATGTATATTTTTAAAATCACATATGTGTATGTGTATGCACATAAACACTCACATACATATAATTCTGTTTCTTTGGTTTCATTCACAGTATTTATTTGATTTTGAACTTTCAAACGTAGCTTAGAGGAAACCCTGCCATATTTCCTTATCTAAAGTGTACCCAGTAGCATAAGAACAGAGGCTGCCCTCCTAGATGGAGGCAAGCGAGCCTCAGTCACTACAGTGTGAGTTGGATCCCGCACCTGGAGCTGACCCACATGGCGCAGCAGACCTTTCCTGACCCGCCCGCTGCTCCCCTCAGCAGTGTACTTCATCAGTCGGCTTGTTCTGCTCCTCAGTCTGTCTGGTGAAGCCTCTCACCTCCCCTACACCTCTGGCCTGTACCCCAGTTCTGTATGAATAAATAAATAAGTAAATCTTAAAAAAAAAAAAAAAGTGGCATTTTTTAAAAAAGTGGCTGAAATATCCTCCAGCACTGTGCTGGCTTTATTCCTGCTGGGTCTTGGATAGCTCCAGGTGCAGGCCCATTCCCCATTGTTACCTGGGACCTTTCAAAGCCCGATTGGGTCCTCCTAGACTGGCTCTACATCTGCACTTGTCCTTGGGGAATAGGGCTCCCTGGGCCCTCGCTTAGAGAGAACGCATCTATCGTAGGTCTGGGAGGGACGCTGGAGGGTCATCCCATATGATGTGCTGCCTGACTGGCTGAAGGACAATGACTACTTGCTACATGGCCATCGGCCACCCATGCCCTCCTTCCGGGCTTGCTTCAAGAGCATCTTCCGCATCCATACAGAAACTGGCAACATCTGGACACACCTGCTTGGTGAGTGAAATGGATGGAGAAAATGTCTCATTAAGTGCCAAGGGTTCTATAACCTTTGTCCATGGGAAGGAAAAAAAGCAAAGTTGATTGATTCTTGATCACAGACCCTCGAAATGGGAGAGGAAAGGCCTAGCCACAGGAGAAGATACTGGAACTAGGTGTTTTCATGTGATCCCTGGTACAACTTTCCTAGATAGAAGCAATTCCTTCTATTTCATAAATTCCCATTGTCATAACAAAATGACAACACTTCAAAAACTAAGGGGTTTTGTCTGGATGTACATGATTGGTGCCATGTTTCCAGAGATTTCAGACTGTAATTCCCCCATTTTCACACTGTAGTTTACTGATTTAATGTCATAGATTGTCAAAATGCGTTTTTTCCCATTTCCTCAGACTTTCTTGTTTTTTTTTCCCCTCCTATAGGTTTCGTGCTATTTCTCTTTTTGGGAATCTTGACCATGCTCAGACCAAATATGTATTTCATGGCCCCTCTACAGGAGAAGGTGGTTTTTGGGATGTTCTTTTTGGGTGCAGTGCTCTGCCTCAGTTTCTCCTGGCTCTTTCACACCGTCTATTGTCATTCAGAGAAAGTCTCTCGGACATTTTCCAAGTGAGTTGAAAGTGTATTAGTGAAAAAGACTGGGTGCTATGTATGCAGTTGGTGGGCTGAGGGTCAACTGAGCGCTGGAAACTCCAGTGCTTGTAAAGAGTCCCCAGTTTGCAAGAAGAAAGACTTTCTATTTGGGGAATATAATAGGGTGATAAGCTTTTCTCCTCAGCCCTTCAAGAAAACATTCGCAACTTTCATCTCAACAGATGAAACCCAACTGTGGAACATACCTTCTACCTGCACCGTACTAGCCATTAAAACTTGGGGTGCCACCGGCTGCATTCTGAGACAAAGTGCCAAGTACTCTCTCAGCTCCCCACTGGCCAGAGCCAGGAGGCGTGGTAGCCCGTGCCTGGTCTGCTAGTGCTCCACCCCGCTGTCAGGCAGGCTTATCTGTGCTGCGCATGTACTGCTGGGAGCCCCCGATGCCTGCCATCTGCTGCTTTCCATCCTCCCAGCTCCCAGCTCGGAGCTCTGTTTGTTTGTGTTTATTGTTGTTGGTTTTGGATCAGAGGTGGATGTACTGTGTTTCCCCAGCAACATCCGTAATAAGAACACAATTTTATCATGGAAATTGTCAACTGAAACAGAACAGTATCCTTAATGATATTCCCAATTTAAAGGTTTGGTTTTTAGAATTCAACCTGTCAGAGCTGGGAACCAGCTAGATTGAAGCATCAACTAGCAGCTCATAACTTAGGGGGAGGAATAAAGATCTATGATCAGGGCTTCTTGGAGTATTTTCCACTGCAGGATAGAAGTGCTATAGGATAGGTTATATGGGAAGTAAGGTTAGGGATAGTCAAATCTGGGAGGCGGCAGGGAACAGAATGAACCAGTTAAGCTGAGGGATTCTTCATTCTCCCACTGGTTGATTTTACTTTTGTGGTGCTCTTTTTTTAGACTGGATTATTCAGGGATTGCCCTATTGATTATGGGGAGCTTTGTCCCCTGGCTCTATTATTCCTTCTACTGCTCCCCCCAGCCACGGCTCATCTACCTCTCCATCGTCTGTGTCCTGGGCATTTCTGCCATCATTGTGGCACAGTGGGACCGTTTTGCCACCCCTAAGCACCGGCAAACAAGAGCAGGTGAGTGGAACCCACAGTATGTGTAAACCTCGTAGGTATTAGCGCCTTGGATTGTAACCTAAGGTTTGCAGTATGGGGTCCCCACCCAAATCTTGTTTTGTGTTTAAAGTTTTCAAAACGGCATGACTTTTCAAAGCTCAGTTCCCTTATGTTTCATTCGACTTCAGTTGATGACTAGTAGAACAGATCATTACCACTGTCAGTTAGCTGCAAATATAGATAGGACTGCTCTTGAGAAAATTTTATTAAAAAATCTTACCAAGCACTATCATTTTAGTGACCTTAGTCCCAAGCACTCAAACCATGGGGTTAAATTTAAAATACCCAGAGTTATTTTACGAAGGGAATGGAATGCTTGGATTGGTGAATAAAATACCTGAGCATAAACATTCCTTAACAACAGAATATAGCTGTAAACATAAACCTGTTTGTGTTGTCCAACGATTAAGTAATCTTCTCCCTGATAGGCTTTTTAATACCTGCTCTGTTTTAACCTTAAGTGAAAAGAATTAAATATTTATCAAGGGCCATCTTGCAGGCACGTGCTCTACCAGGGGCCTCTGCAAAGCCAGAGAAGGTAGTCCCTCCTCCCTTCACGATCAGTGTGGCGGCGTGGGCACAGGTACCCATTCTCCCCCGTGCCTGATTTGTGTGTGCCAGCAGCCACGGACGCCCTGTCAGACGCGTGTAGCCAGGCTCAGGAGGTCAGGGTCCTGGTTACTTAAGCCTGTTACGCTCTTAAAAGGGAAACCTGTCCTCCTCCTCTCTGGCTTGCAAGACATGTGCAGCTTTGCCATCACGTTCTGTATCCTTGTCAGCTCTCAGAGGGTTGTGACACCGTATTTTTGCCGAGGCTTTTTAACAGATAAATAGGAGTGAAGATGTTCTTGGTAATCTTTAAAAGATAATTCACTATATAAGCCCTAACCTAGCCCTCTTCTCATTCTGGGTGTTGAAACTGTATCTATTATCTACCTAAATTTCCTTAACATACTATTTACCGAAATGTAGTTGATTATCATAAACATTTAAATTCTGAAGTAACAGTGTCTCCATGTATCTTCTTCTGCTTCCTTGCTTGACAGTCTTACCTTGCTTTTGTTCAGGAGTGTTCCTGGGACTAGGTTTGAGTGGTGTTGTGCCCACAATGCACTTTACTATCGCCGAGGGCTTCGTCAAGGCCACTACCGTGGGCCAGATGGGCTGGTTCTTCCTCATGGCTGTGATGTACATCACCGGAGCGGGCCTTTATGCTGCTCGAATTCCTGAGCGCTTCTTTCCTGGGAAATTTGACATATGGGTAAGAAAGGACTCCCCCGGCAGAGCCCATGATGGTGACAGGTTGGGAGAGCAGGTCGTAAGAGACGCAGGGAAGATGTAGGGAGAGCACGTGTGCACGCAGGGAAATGGGAAGGAGGGTGATCAATACTAACTCTGTGTGTGTCACTGACAAGGTGTCTCTTTAAATTTTTCTCTAATAAATAGACCACTTTTACAATGTGAAAAATATATATATATTTAAGGAGAAACTAGGAGAGGTAAACACTTTCTCCGATTAGTTTCTCTGATTCTTCTAACATCTCTTGCTCCTCTCTTCTTATGCCTACAGTTCCAGTCGCATCAGATCTTCCACGTCCTAGTGGTGGCGGCGGCCTTTGTCCACTTCTACGGGGTCTCCAACCTTCAGGAGTTCCGTTATGGCCTGGAAGGTGGCTGCACTGACGACTCCCTTCTCTGAGCCTTCCTACCTGAGGGGTGGAGGAGGAACTTCCCAAGTGCTTTTAAAAATAACTTCTTTGCTGAAGTGAGAGGAAGAGTCTGAGTTGTTTGTTTCTAGAAGAAACCTCTTAGAGAATTCAGTACCAAGCTCTAGCCCACTTTCATACCCACTGGGCAATAAACTTGACATTTTCCTAGTTGAAGAGAGTGGGGATGGCCAAACTTAGCCATCCCCCCTCTGCATCCCCCTCCTCAGCAAGGCAACTGCTGTCCCCTTCCAGAGACAGTCTATTGAAGCTCATGTTGAGATTTTACCCCTCTGGCCATTTGGGGGGGGGGGAGGGGATGATGGACTGGGACTCTTCAGAAGTTGTTTCTGGAGAAAAATGTCCCTTCCTTACCCCATCCTTACTTTGTAACCTGGCTTATAACAGGCCACCCATTTTTGTAGCACACTTTTCAAAAACAATTATAACCTGGTCCCATTCTTTCTAGAGCCTGGATCTGCTCACACAGCAGGAAGAACAAAGCCACCAACTTTTACATAGCCCGGCTAATCATGGAAGTGTCTCCAGGCTTCAAATAACTTGAGTTTTAATTTTTTTTTTTCTTGGCAGAGTAATGTAAAATTAAAATGGGGAAAGATATTTAATATTTAATACTAAGCTTTAAAAAGAAACCTGCTATCATTGCTATGTATCTTGATGCAAAGACTATGATGATAATAAAAGAAAGTACAGAAGACACTTGGCATTCAAAAATCTGACATGTGTGGTCTCAACTATTTTCACACAACACGAAGAATTAAGACCAGTAAAATCATTTCTGATTCTGCAGAGGAACAAACTTGAATCAATGGCATCAATAGACTGACATACACAGGCTAATGAATGAGCCTAATTGAATTCCTAGCATCTCAGTATAGCTTTATTTTTCTCCACCTATTGCAGACATTACAGAATTTAGAGTTTAGTGCTGTTAAAACTGCATTGTGTAAGATGGTCTCATAAGATAGAAACGGCCTTTCTGTTTTGTGGATTGTACTCAACCTGATGGGAATTTTGTTCATCAAAAAGTGTAAAGCCCACAGTAATTATCACTTCTGAGCTAAGTGGGTACTTACACCGGTGTCCTCTTTGACTTACAAAGTCAGGTACACTTTAAGGGTCAGCTTTATCCAACTGGAAAAAGATTCTCCTGAAAGAGAGCCTAACTAGGCCGACAAAGGAAACGTTTCTCACCCTCAAGCAGTAATCAGGGAGACGTAACTTAAAACCAGAGAAAGAAACCACCTCACGCCATCCAGATTGGCATAAATAATAAAAACTCTGATACTGCATGTTTGTGCAGCAAGACAGAGCAGATGGGGGTGTTGCATTTCTGTGGGACCGCCCGCTGTGTGGACATGTGGCAACACAGTCGGTGAAGCAGCACGATGTGACGTGTGTCCAAAACCCTAAAGGAATGCTGGTTCTGCCCCACTACGTGGTTTCAGAACTCCCACATAGGTCACAACTTAGACTCGAAAACATACTGCCCTTGAGAAACCTGACTTGTACCCAGAGTCCACGGCAGCTCTGTGGTAGCAGCCTCCTGCCAACAAGCCAAATGCAACACCAGCCGTGAAAATGACCTCCTGGTGACAAATCAGCAACATGGCTGAATCGGAAGACTAGGGCCAGGAGGGAAGCTAGTTACCGAAGAATACATGGCAACTGCATTTATGTGAAGTTCAGAAACTGCAGAACTAATGAAAGTTCAAGGAGACAAATGGTAAAAACTTCACAAAGGAAATGTGGATTCAGAAAAATGATTACCTGTGAGGAGTACGAACAGGATGGGAGCAGGGGGCAAGCCAGATCCTTCAAAAGTACGGTTTATGTCGTCTTGCTTTTCACTAGTAGCTGAGGGTTCCTATACTGTGGTTATTTCTTCTTGTGCACAAGCAATGAGTAGCTTATTCAGTATCAAATTATCTTCCATTTAAATACTTCGGGGCCCTCCCTGGCAGCGCAGCGGGTTAAAACACAGCTCTAAGAAGCTAAAGCCACATCAGCATGAGTTTGATCCCTGCCTGCCCTGGAGGTGACCCAAAGGGTGCAGCAGACCTCTCCTGACCACCCACTGCTCCCCTAAGTGTGTACTTCGGCAGTCAGCCTGTTCTGCTCCCCACTCTGTCTCTGGTGAAGCCTCTCACTGCCCCTGCACCTCTGGCCTGTACTCCAGTTCTGTATGCACAAATAAATCTTTTTTAAAAAGTACTTCATCGCTAAGCTAACAATACAAACTTGTGACCTTCAGGCTGCAGCATTCACACACATGCTCTCTGGCCTGTATCCTGGGGCTGCAGCACAGTCCCTGTGACCTCCAGGGACCTTATGCTCTCCAGTTCAGCTTGCTTGGTCCCTGCTTAGCTTGCTTCACTCCAGAGTCAGCTGCTTAAGCCCTGGAGGCATCCACATTTGCAACCACATGTATTAGACTGGAAGGTACAGGGACCACATCAATCCAACTCCATCTTCTACATGAGGAATGCAGGGTTGGTTTGTATGTTTTTTTTAAGATTTATTTATGCATACAGAACTGGGGTACAGGTGTGGTGGGGTGGAGAGAATTCAGAGACAAGTGGGGAACAGAACAGACAAATGTATTGAAATACACTGCTGAGGGGAGCAACCAGGAGAAGTCTGTGCAGTGTGGGTCAGCTTCCTGTCTGGGGACGCAATTTGTGGCTGCGGATAGCTCCATACTGCTGTGCTTTAACCTGTTGCACCACCAGGAAGGGCCCAGAGGAACGTAGACTTATAATAATGGAGATTTAATAATGGAGATTTATAGCAACTGGTTAAACTTTGTAGGTTTCTTCACTTTTTAGTAGTAGGACCAGAGAAAGAATCTAAGAGGGAACACTCATTGAGCAGCTACTTGATACTTTTCATCTCAATTTTATCTTTTTAGCCCTATGAATTAAGCAGTATCCCACTCCACAGATTTTTTGTTATTTTTCAAAGATTGATTTATGCATACAGAACTAGGGCACAGGCCAGAAGTGCAGGGGCAGTGAGAGGATTCACTGAACACAAAGTGGAGAGCAGAACAGGCAGATTGATGAAGTACACTCCTGAGGGGAACAGTGGGCAAGACTGGAGAAGTCTGCCGCGCCATGTGGATAACCTCGTGGCCTGAGATGGAACTTGCACTGAAGTGGCCAGTTTGCAATGCTGCGCTTTAACCTGCTGCACCAACAGGGAGGGCCCAGATTATTTCAATTTCAACCCCTGGTTTGGCCCTCCCTGGTGGCGCAATGGGTCAGGATACAGTACTATGAGCTACCCACAGCCACTTCAGTGCTCCTTCCATCCCCGCCCCTGGAGCTGATCCACATGGCGTGGCAGACCTCTCCTAACCGCCCACTGCTCCCCTCAGCAGTATACTTCATCACTCTGCCTGTTCTGCTCCCCACTCTGTCTCTGGTGAAGTCTCTCACCACCCTCAGCAACTCTGACCTGTACACCAGTTATGCATAAATAAATAATCCTTTTAAATTAAATAAATAAACTCCTGGTTCTAAAGTCCTGGATCTTTTCACTCCTGATTCTAGTAAATAGTAGTTTCTTTCTCTAATTGCATACTTAAAAGCTGACTCACTTATTTCCAAAATCCAGGACCAGCTGTATGCTGAAGAACAGGTAAATGACAAAAACAATGAATGAGCTGTTGGCAAATAATATTCAAGAAGAATAAAAGCTAAGAATCTGACTCTACCCTATTCTATCAATAAATTTAAAAAGGAAACCAATTTATCTTATACTACATCCATCTTAGATTTAAAATATATAACTTTGGGGAAATTGGTAAACTCTTAATTTAGCACAAATGGGTAATACAGTCCAAAGAAATTTTATTGAATGCTGTGTTAGTCCAGTCCTCAGAGAAGATTAATGTGCAAGGATTTTTTTAGGAAAAATACTTATATGTAAAGGAAATCGGAAGGGAGTGAGAAAAGACAGGGAGAGCATTGAGATAGTGTTGATGGAGGAAGGAATGCAGGGGAGGCATCACAAGACTGAGTCAAACGAAGGGGATGGGTGGAAGTGGCTAGCACTATAACTGAGACAGCCAGAACATCAAGGTCCTCAGGCACCAAAGCTGGATGTCTGGGATGTCCCAGATGCCTGGATGTCTACAGGAGGTCCCAGCAGGTAACAGACTGTTGAGGGCTGTGCCTGAAGCTCAGACCCAAAAGGTACAAGATAAAGACATGGACATGAAGCTCATCAGGAAATCTCTCTAGTTCTAGATAGATATAACTCAGCAACTAACTGCTCGCAAGGGTGGGGGCTCGGGGCTGTCTCTCCACCAGGACGCGGCAGCCATCCTCCGCCCACCTGTGACTATGCAGGTGTTTCTTCCCACCCGCTCTCTCCCTGTGCAGGGCAGCAGCCTCCTGCCTGCCTGCGACCTGTGCCATGCCTGGACCTCTCTGCCCTGACCTCCCTCAGTGGAGGCCGCTCTCCTAAGACCGCCTACAACCATTCAGGTCTCTCTCTCTCTCTGCAATCCTGTCCCTTTCAGGGTAGCTCTTCCTGTCCGCTTATGCAAGAGTTTTTTTTCCTCTCCTGTCTCTTTCTAATAAACTTGCTCTTTAAATATAACGAGTCTCTTGTCTCATGGCGAATCTCGCCTCGTGCCGCTGAAAGAGGAGCTCTGGTGAAACCTTTCCCAGAGTGAATCCAAGAATACCGAACTCCAAAAGATGACATCATTCATCATTGTCACCCCTATGAAGAAAAGAGGGAAAGCAGGGAAAACTGTCCTAGGCAGCCCTGCAGTCTAAGAAAGATCAAATTGTAACAGAGGGGTCCCCAGGAAAAGGGGAAGTTGTGGGTTCCCTGCCTCACCCAGAAGGAGGGTGGAGCTGAGCAGAGAAGAGAAGGATCTGGAGAAAGAAGGAAGCAGGATGGAGAGCCAGAAGGCGACCTAAGGGAGCCACATGGAGCAGAGAGACGTGAAGAAAGTGCGTTTGCTTCTTGGCCCTGGACTGGTTGAAAGAGATGTGGGTGAGAGACCCGTGGGGAGGTGACTATGGCAGCGTTTATCTTGATTTTGATTTTGCTCTTTTCCTCCCAGACTTGTCTGGCCATGGCTGACCCTTTTCTATGGGTCCCAGCCAAAAAGTACTTAGTCTTGTGGTGGGCTTTCAGGCCTTGCTGTGGGCCAATCCCTTTTGAGTGAACTTTTACCCACGAGGGGATGGGTAACTTCAGGTGCTTGATTTAGAAATTATATTCTTTGTCTTTTCTGTATTGAATACTCATTGTATTAAAGTTCCTTTCCATTAAAGCTCTTTTGTCTTGTCTTGATGCAGTGGATGGCAGAACCTATTTAGAGCAGGCAGGTTTGGATGATCAGTGATGTCCCTCTCTCCCTGCCCTGCAACAAAATAAAGCTCTTACTTTGGAAGAGTCCTTGAGCCAAAGTCAGTTAACAAAAGAGTGCCATCTGGCCAGGGAAGGGTCTGCTTAATATGTCCACAGTGCAGTGAGGGGCGGGAACTGCCTTCGGGAGGCCCAACTTGGGTCTGGTGCCAATTTAGCTGTTTCTCAGAGCTGCTCTGAGCTGGGCGCTG